GTTTGATTGTGATACAATCAAAATGATCTGTGACTGAAAGCAGATTGTAGAGGAGGAGAAACAGCAGCTGTGAACACTTAGTATTAGAGAACTTTGTTAAAAACTGAAGGCATGTTATCTTTCAGAAAGTAAACATAAAGTAAAACAAAATCATAATGTATTGTCTGCTTGATATAATTCTTCAGAATTCACAATGAGTAAAAAGAAATCACTGGTGAAAACAGATTTTGTAGTAATTATGGGCCAAATCATTTTATAAAAATTTGCCATAAATTTTTGTTTTTATATGTTTAGTTGTCATGTAGAATTAGTTTTGTTTGTTTATAGAGGCAAATTTAATTTTCTTTTCATCAGTGAGCTTAGAGAGAGAGCATAGAGTCATAAACCAAGATATTTTTACCCTGTTACTACTATCCATGTTTTTTAATCTAGATTGCTCCACTCATTTCCTCCTCATATTATTTTGTAAGAAATCCCAGACAAAATATCCCTTTTATATGTGACTTATAGTTTATATTCTTAAAAGATAGAGACTATTGTTTAAAACATAACCACAATACCATTATCACCCCAACAATATGAATAATAATTCTTTAATATTATGAAACATCTAATTGGTTTTCAAATTCAAATAATCTCTTAAATGTTATAACTTTTCCTCTTCATTTTGAATCTGTATGTAAATAGTAATCATACATTGCAAATGACTGAATTAACACTTTATAAAGTCCCCTTCTATTTCTTTTCTTTTGGAATTTATGTTTTAAATAAACAATCAATTTTTGTTTAGAGTTTCCCAGCTTATTCGTTGCTTCTCTGTTATGTCATTTAATATGTTTCTGTCTTCTCTTTTCTCCTATAAATATGGCATTCTAATCTAGAGGCTTGATCAGATTTAGATTAGTTTTTATCAGTAGGACTACTTTACAGGTAGTTTTGTATTGTTTCATCTGGAAACACATGTTTAGTTGTGAAAGAACTATGTTATTAGCAGGTCTCAGTGTCTAGAGCTCAGTATATATTCAAAATTGTGATAATCACACATTCCTGTTCTCTTTATAACCTTGAATATTTTTATAGTCATTTTATTTATTGTTCAATTACCTATTGGTAAAGTTCATATTAGAAGGCATGCATAAATTCTTGGCTTACTATATGTTTAGTTCACTCACATTGACAATTCACTCAACAATGACAATTAGTTTTTAAAATTTTTATTGTTATAAATTCAATAAATTAAACATTTTATGTGTCAGTATATTGCAGTTACTATCCTTATTGGTGCTCAGATTGTCTTATCTTTAACCTAGTGGGGGAGCTTTTCTGGTTGGCTCCTGAGTCCTTTCTGAGTCTTTCATAGTTCCTCAGTTTTGATAGTTAATACAACCTCTGCCAATAACAGATGTTACTGGGTCATATTGTACATTTCTTGTCCCAGACCTTGAGTCAACCATATATCCATGGAGTTCTTTATTTTTAGTCAGAAATGGTACTTGGAACCCACAGACTAGGTACTAGGGATGCTCATTGCTGCTGGGTTTGCTATTGTTCCTAGCCTTTTTCAATGGGCAACACCAGAAAATTCTCTCCC